ATATAGATATATACATGTACATATATATTTATATGTATACATATATGTAAGATGTGGTCCGGAAGATTCTCGCGCGTATTATGCTTCGACGTCTTCTCATCTTTCTGACTGAGAGAATTCTGACGGAATCTCAATGTGGCTTCAAATCTGAACGTAGTACTCTCGACATGATATTCGTCGCTCGTCTACTCCACGAAAAAAGCAGTGATCAGCAAAGAGAGATAAATTTTCCTTTCGTTGACCTAAATAAAGCCTTTCACACGGTCAATCGGAAAGCTCTATGGCGTTTGCCTGGCAAATTTGGCTGGCCGCAGACCTTTCAATTTCACGAGGATATGCTCGATAAGGTATTCATCGGGGTATCCTCATCAGAACAGGTCACTGGGCATACGGGAGTTAAACATAGCTGTGTTCTTGTTCCCGTGCTCTTTAATATCTATCTGGTTGCTGTGACTCTTATCTCGGTTACATATGGAACCCAACGACGGTATACGAATCCGATATCGCTTTGACGGTAGCGTCTTCAATGCCCGACGTCTCAATGCTAATACTGACCTCTACCATTCCTGTCTATGAACTGCAATATGCCGACGATGAGGCTATAGTTTCTCATGCGTCATCCTCACTACAACAGTCCCTGACTTCATTGCACCAGGCTTATTCTGGCCTCGGTCTTGATATCAACCCAAATAAAACAGAAGTAAGTCAAACAGCGTTTAAACGACGTGATCCAGCAGTTCGGATGCACATTGACAACGTTTCGTTGTCTAAGGTTAACGCATTCATCTAACTCGACAGTGTCAGATCCAATAATGGACACAATGATGAAGACATTCTCCGGCGGATAAATCACACCTCCACTTCCTTCGGACGTCTCCGCCTCGGGATCTTCTCTGACTTACAACCAAAGTCGCTGTCTATCGAGCTGTAGTTGTTTCAACACTGCTCTACGGCTGTGAATGCTAGACCATGTATCGCTGACAAATAAAACTGCTTGAGAAATTCCATATCTGCTGCCTTCAGCGAATCTTGCGCGTTACTTGGATAAAATCCCCCACACAGAGGTTCTTCAACATGATGAGGTGGTCAGCATGGAGGACATCATACGACAACGCTGTCTACGTTGGGTTGGACATGTGCGGATGCCTGGCAGTTGCCTCCCCAAAAATTGTATTCTTCGGAGTGCTCTAAACAGGCAGGCGCCCACGCGGAGGCCAAAAGAATCGATTTCGAGAATACCTTAAGCTTACTCTTGTCTCCTGCAATATTGACTCATCACAACTGAAGAACCTCGCAAGGCATCGAATCGACTGGCGGACTCTCTGCCTCGCCGGAGTGGCGAACTTCGAGGAGGAGAGACGAGGAGTTGTCGAGGAGAGGCGACGCCAGCGTCATCTGCAACCTGCCAATTCCATACAGGGCATGTTTCCCTGTCACCTATGCCCGGGATCTTGTCGTTCGCGGATCGGGCTGCTATTTCTTTTGGCAGCCCACAGAAGACGGATGGAGCTGGAAGGGTCGGTATCGTCGTCAGCAATGACGGACAGTCTAAGAGAGAGAGAGACGTACATATATAAACATATATATATATATATATACATACATATTGTTGTAAACCAGAAAAGATCGCTGATGTAGGAATAGATAAAACAGAGGTTGGAAACGAAGTGGTAATACTCCCCCATCGGCGTGAAGTAGGTAAACCATTGCTATAGGTGGTCTACTTAGACAGCATATTACCCCCCCCACTTAGTGGCCACCGTATTTATAAGAATTGGAGCATTAGTATTCATACTTAAAATGTGACAAACACACACACACACACACACACACACACACACACACACATATATATATATATATATATATATATATATATATATATATATATATATATATATATATAGGCAGGTTGCAGTAATGGGTAGCAGTTGAAGAATTCCAGCCGAGATCGAATTCCAGTCGAATTCAGCTCTGGACAAATAGGGTCAGACAGGGTTTTTATAGCCTTGGATGGCAACTAAAGCTCTCAATTCAAAACCTTCGGTGAATTCTTTGGGGACAATATATATATATGTATGTGTGTGTGTGTGTGTGTGTGTGTGTGTGTGTGTGTGTGAGAGAGAGAGATTAACACCTATGCTGTGCATGGATCTTGTGCTACCGACGAGGAAAATGTATAGGTATTATTTGTATGTAATTTATGCCACTACATCAGGCACACTATTAACACCTGCAATATATATATATATATATATATATATATATATATATATATATATATATATATATATATATATATATATATATATATATTACGATGGATAATAAATTGTCGTCTAAATTACGCAAAAATATAAATTTCACTAACATCACATTTTAACAGTTATCATTACCAAAATTACACAAAGATATCATGAAATACTGAAGATTAAAAGTCATTCGTTAAATAGACATTGGCTTCAGCCTCGGCCTCTAAACGACTTAAAAATTTCCTGCATTGCTGCGATAATCCTTTCTTTCATTTTACCTTTGGTGTTACAAGGAGTTGTTTTTTGGGGGTTTTTTTGTCTCTTGCTAAACTGCACTCAACACTTATTAATAAGTTGGATTGCAGTCTGGAGAGTTAGGTGGCCAGATACAAGGATTGATGTGGTCGTAGAAATTGTCTGACAGCCATGACTATGTTCTCCTGCGCCATGGCTTAGATTCCTTTTGCCCGAAATAGGGTCTTCCAGCAGGTTCCATCTCTTGATCCAAGGCAGCAGTACCTCCTCAAAGCACTTCATATAGGCCTCCGTGCTGACTCTGAGGCCAGGGGGAAAGTTGAATGGAGGCATAATGTTGTCATCGCTAGTGATCACTCCAAACACCTTCGTAATCATAATTAGACTTATCTAATTCTTTTCGAATCCTCTGCATTGTCCTCAAATTACACTCAACCCTCTAAAATATTCGTATTACAGCTTCCAGCGCGAATGCCAAGCAGTGCAACATGGCATTTCGAAATTACTGATGGAGTGAGTTGCGTCATTGTGCTCTATTCCTCACTGACATGCCCAATTGACCCTACTATATAGGGCAGTCGACAAAATCAAAAATAAGCAATGCGTATACGCAAAATTAAAAATAGAAAATGGCAACAGTTTACCAATCGAACTTTATATATATATATCTATATATATATATATATATATATATATATATAGTCTTAAGATATGCTATATTTATGGAATAAAGTTCTCAATATCAGAGCTAGAGCCTGTGTAAATATAAGAGTGAACACAGAAGTCAAAACTTAGAAGCGACATTCTGTTTCATGCTAGTATCATTCGTCAGGCCTGACGATTGCATCTAGCATGAAACAGAGTTCTATGTTCACTTATATATATATATATATATATATATATATATATATATTGTGTGTGTGTGTATTTAAAATTCTTGAAGCTATATACATAAAAGAGTTGAAACCCAACCTGAATAAAAGAAACTATGAAAACTCCACAAATATACTTAAATGTCTATAATTGATAACAGAAGCCATTTGTTTATACCAACGGCTTCCCATACTTGACACTTCTTTTTTTCACTCTCGCGTGGTCATGTGTCATGGTTCGCGGCGCGATTTTCTCTTCCAGCGTCTCGATTGCACGAGTTGCTTGGGAATCTTCCATGCAAGCAGTAACAGACTGCCATTCTTGCTATGTCCGTGTATTGTTTAATATATTATAATGTAATTTCCATCTTTGATGATGTCTTATGTAAACCGAATCTTAGATAGGATTAAAAAACATGTATCAATACGGTGATTTTCTTTCGTCTTTCAATGATAATGTTATTAAGCTTATCAGGCGATATGAAAGGAATTTGCTTAAAATAAATAGACAAAACTTGTCTATATTATTTAATGAAATATGCATCACTAAATATATATATATATATATATATATATATATATATATATATATATATTTATATATATATATATATATATATATATGTGTGTGTGTATGTGTGTGTGTTTGTTTGTATGTATTTATTTATATGTGTGTGTATGTGTGTATTACAAAAAAGTAAATATATTAGGCACATTCTTGTGTATCTGAACTGGAAATGTATAGAACCGTACATATATCTAGTAATGGCGGAATAGATGATATGCCACTTAATTTATGCTTCTTGCATGGTTTATACGATATAAATAGTCTGATCCAGAAAGACATTTTCCCCAACAGTAATTAGTATATCACACACTATCACATTTCCAAGACTAGAAAACACTTCTCCCATGTTGGATACGTACTTTCATACAACATCCTCTCTACCCAAACTCTACCGACGACTCGAATGTGCTAGAAGAAGCATTTGCTTGACTAGATGATACGTTGCTAGTCTTGCACGGTCGAATAGAGTTGCTTTGGATTCAGCTTTGTTACTATATCCACTGCCATGTACTTTGTAAGCAAAACCCAAAGGCATGAACTGTATAATTCTTTGACGGATGAGTTTTACAACACGTGCGTTGTATTCGGATCAACATCACTTCTTCAATGAACTTGTTAAAATTACTATGCACTCATAACTTAGCAACACCTGTTATGATCACATATATTAGACCCCCGTTTTTACCCTCAAAAATTATTATGGGTGCTTTTTATATCCGTCTGTGTTACATGGATTAAATTGCTTCACTATATATGTGCTGATTTTATAGCAAACATATCGCCCATCTTAGTGAATTTCTACATGGGATGAAGTATGAAACTAGCCATCGTTTCTCTCTCTCTCTCTCTTTCTTTCTCTCTTTCTCTCACTCTCTGCCATATTTTGCCCCTTTTATTTGCAGTAGGCATTCCTTTTATCTTTTCATCAAATCTACTGGCTTATTTCTGTTTTATATCAATCTCTTTTTTCTTATCTATTTAAATTACTCTTTGGCTCCATCAGTGTCTTTCCGGTTCTCTTCATATGCAATCATCTATTTAGCACACTTATAAATGTAAATCTATACATACATGCTCTTTTGTTCATGTCTATCTATCATCTTGTCTATATCTCAAGATAAATATAAATATATTAATCATTAAAATCGTTCCTGCCTTTCCTGTTTTCAATTTTTTATTTAAATAGAATCTTTGCCTTTGGTTATAAATAAACCAATTAACTTCAATTTCGTCTCAGTACTTGTTAAAGAGAAGCACAATCCATCCATAGTTCGCCTGCCTGTGTCTGTGTGTGTTAGTATCAATTATAGTGGACGGAGAGATCGATAAAATCTTTAGCAATTTCAAATCAAGCAAATAATTATTTTTTATTATATCTAATAAATCACTATCACTGGCGGGTACTGCAGACGCTACAGCAATGGTGTGTCCTTGGGTAAAATAGCCTAATGGTGTACAACCCTCTCCATGATGCAGTGTAGAGCACATTCTATCCTACCCTTTATCAATAAGCGAATAGATAACAGACAGATTCATGGCCATGGGCGGAGTGATACAGACAGATTCATGGCCATGGGCGGAGTGATACAGACAGATTCATGGCCATAGGCGGAGTGATACAGACAGATTCATGACCATAGGCGGAGTGATACAGACAGATTCATGACCATAGGCGGAGTGATACAGACACATTCATGACCATAGGCGGAGTGATACAGACAGATTCATGACCATAGGCGGAGTGATACAGACACATTCATGACCATAGGCGGAGTGATACAGACAGATTCATGGCCATGTGCGGAGTGATACAGACAGATTCATGGCCATAGGCGGAGTGATACAGACAGATTCATGACCATAGGCGGGTGATACAGACAGATTCATGACCATAGGCGGAGTGATACAGACAGATTCATGGCCATGTGCGGAGGATACAGACAGACTCATGGCCGCCGGCGGAGTGATACAGACACATTCATGACCATAGGCGGAGTGATACAGACACATTCATGACCATAGGCGGAGTGATACAGACACATTCATGACCATAGGCGGACTGATACAGACAGATTCATGACCATAGGCGGAGTGATACAGACAGATTCATGACCATAGGCGGAGTGATACAGACACATTCATGACCATAGGCGGAGTGATACAGACAGATTCATGGCCATGGGCGGAGTGATACAGACAGATTCATGACCATAGGCGGAGTGATACAGACACATTCATGACCATAGGCGGAGTGATACAGACACATTCATGACCATAGGCGGGTGATACAGACAGATTCATGACCATAGGCGGAGTGATACAGACACATTCATGACCATAGGCGGAGTGATACAGACAGATTCATGACCATAGGCGGAGTGATACAGACACATTCATGACCATAGGCGGAGTGATACAGACACATTCATGACCATAGGCGGAGTGATACAGACAGATTCATGGCCATAGGCGGAGTGATACAGACACATTCATGACCATAGGCGGAGTGATACAGACACATTCATGACCATAGGCGGAGTGATACAGACAGATTCATGACCATAGGCGGAGTGATACAGACAGATTCATGGCCATAGGCGGAGTGATACAGACTCATTCATGACCATAGGCGGAGTGATACAGACACATTCATGACCATAGGCGGAGTGATACAGACAGATTCATGACCATAGGCGGAGTGATACAGACAGATTCATGGCCATGTGCGGAGTGATACAGACAGATTCATGGCCATAGGCGGAGTGATACAGACAGATTCATGACCATAGGCGGAGTGATACAGACAGATTCATAGCTTTTCTCAACGGCTATTTGCGAGTAACAAACATTACTGGAACTGGTAGTCGCATTCCAACTTCGAATTCCGAACCAGTATCTATGACAATATCCGTGTATCCACGTTTAACTAAAACATAATTTTAAACCGGTTTCTTTAATATTAACAAAATACAAGAACATTTGCACTCACATTTTGTCTACATACACATGCTTTCAGCCGTGAAGCTAAATCGAAATTTTCGAGAACACACACACACACACACACACACACACACACACACACACACACACACACACATAACTAATCCAACAACAAGGCGTCCGTATTCGTCCTGCGTCTGATGATGAACTATATCCGGCAGCAAGAGATATTGAAAGTTTTGAGAAGCAAGTGAGATTAGAGGTTTTGAGGAGCGTGGAACCATCTCTTAATTGTTGCAATTACCAGATCCACCCTGACCCGCGGTGGTAGCATTTTTTAGGGTCCTAGCTATGGGAAAATAGTGATCCCCACCCCGTCAAACAAAACACTATGAAAGTATAAATGTCAATTTTTGTGGTGGGTGTGTCTTCGCAGCATTGTCGTATATGGGAGATGACCAACAAGACATATATGTAGTAGACTGACCAGCAAGGCATTTTAGGGGTGAAATGATCAGCAATATATTTTATCTATAGTTGAGGGCATAAAAATTATTTAGATTTCGTTATTAAATAACACGTAGAAGTTGATTTGTCAATAAATTAACAACCAAACAACCAACATGAAATAGATTTCTGGAAATTCATTCATATAATATTCTACAATTTCTTAAAGAAATCAAACTTTATTCCAATATGTAACTTTTAAAAAAAAACTACTGCTTACATCACACATAACGCCGCCTCTAGCAATTATATCCACACAAAATATGCCCAGAAGTAACAACTACCATTGTTTTTAATTGTGAAAGTAGAATAAGAAATATAATAATTTTTTAAAATTTAAAGTTCCCAAGAAAATTAAATTTCAGCATAAAAGGACCCATATGGGGTTAAACAAAAAATAATCAGTCAATATAAATATACACATCCACACACACACACACACATACATATATATATATATATATATATATATATATATATAACCCCCACACATATATATATATATATATATATATATATATATATATATATATATATATATATATATATATATATATGTATGTATGTATGTATGTATTACTTCATACGTTATTTTATTGGATAACTGTTCCATTTATTTGAAGCAGTATTCTGTCTACTGTCCTGTATACAGAAGAGCTATAATAAAGAAAAGGTGCTCTGGCCTGATTGGCCAAAATAAAGCAAGTTTCTAATTTGCATTTAAAGCACACTGTCCCGTTCAGGTTTTCTCACAACGCATATCTGCTTATTTTCTGATGCTAAGCGATCGTTAAAAACATGAACAAGTAGACGGGTATTATTATAGATACTTAAAATTACAACATGTATTAACGAATTAATTCAGGATTTGAATTCTAAATTTTTAATTCATATTTGCTGTTTCTCTTATTTTTTTAACAAGGAACATTTGTCATTGTTATGTTTTAATAATTAAAACAAATGCTAAAAATGAATCGCATGTTACCAGAGTAACCGATATTTTGAAAGAAATTTCGTAAATAATTTCTCATATTATTTTCCCTCACAATGTAAGATGTGGATGTTGGTTTAATGGAATTTAATTAATTAATTAATTAATCTTTCCTATAAATAACCTACCTCTAGTCTATTTTTAATTTTTAAAACATTTTCCTTTGTTTTTTGTGTAAGGCAGTTGGGTAAATTGGCGTTTAAGCTGAAAGTCTTCACACTGTAGATGTTTTTCATTGAAATCTTCCATGAGGAAATTTGTTGTATCGACATTTGCAAACGCAAATTTAATGTTTATTTAGACTAAAAGGTTTAGGCAGATAATGCGTTTCGGCAGTGGGGACTGAGATATCTGCCACAAGACATGTTTCGTGTGGCATATTCCAGATCTTGTTCATTCCTGGCGAAAAACATTGGTGACTATGAAGATAAATAGATTTTTATGACAGAAATTTTCTCAATAGTATTTTGCTTTTTGTATCTTTTACGATGTTTTATGTTAATTCACTCCAAATAATATAAAGTTACTTATCGCAAATATTAATTACCCCGAAGAAATTATAAATTTTATAGCAAAGTATGTTTTTTTTAATTAAAGTTTTGGCTCTCTTTCAAAATAATAATTTTAATTCAAAATTTGTTTACCTTGTCGAGCAATAACTCCAAACGTCAGAAGTTTTTTAAAAAAGTAACAAAATTCAGAGACTTATTCACATTTAGTAAGTGCGGATGATATTCGAGGTACTTACAAAGAATTTTTTACAATTTAAAAAGGAAAAAAGTAAAACATCTTTTTTTGGCTTATTTATCGCGATGAGCGCGAATGTAGACCCCCACATTTAGAAATAGCGCATCCGAATCGGAGTGCAATGGAAGGGACTCACTTTGTGAGAATTTGGTGTGAATTTTAGTAAATATAAATTCTATTTATTATTTATTATTTTAATATTTTTAATAAAAAAGATCGTCTTTTATGAATAAAAAAATCTGGGCTATTACTTTTTTCAATTTCCTTCCTCTTATATAAACCTAGAGTTTTTCGAAGTATAAAACTATTTTATTAACGAGTTCTTTATCAGATCTTTCAATATTCTTTCTTATATGAGAGCGAGATTTTATTAATGCCACTAATAAGGTTTACAATGTGCGTTCTATCCCTCATTATATATAGTTTCAGTAGATAAAAATATATTAACTAGCACTCTCAAAAATAAGGATAGGTCAACAATATTCTTAAAAAAGACTAACATTTTTTTCTGTAGAAATATTGTGAGTTTAGTTTAGGTTTCTTTTTTGTGTTTGAAGTGATCATTAAAACAGGATTATTTTAACGTCCAATTTTAGTTTAATTAATTCTTAAAGCAAAAATTATGAAATATTTAAAAGACGGTATTTGACGTGAAAATTCTTTGAAGTCATCCTGTGAAAGCATAACTACTTTTACTTGCACACAAGCTGTAACTCTATAATTTTTAATGTGCGCATTGTAGAAAAAATAACTTTTTTGCTTGATGATTGGGATAACATCTGTCTGTGTCATAAAATGATTATAAAAAGAATATAAATTTGGAAAGTGATCTCTTATTAAATACATTCATTTTGTTTTATTTTATTAT